CGGTAAATGGGTATAGAGTTCAATCTGACCTGAGGAACACAGAGACAGTTCTTCATGTCAAGGACCAAAATGTCCAAAAAGACTAATTTTTAAAGCGTCTAGCATACTTGAATTCCATAACGTAAGTACATTGTAAGCCTGACGGCAAATTAAAACTTTGGAAGTTGTACTGAATGCCTTTGAAGCTGAGGAACTGGGTAAAAATCCTCTAAATATAACCAATAACATATAATTTGTGTTCAAATCACATACTGCATTTTAATATTTGGTCTGTGTTTTTAAATATGTGTATCTTATAGAAGTATGCTTGAATCTATGCAGTTGATTCAATGTTTTTATGATGATGTTTTTAACCTAGGGAATGCCTCACCTTGAGGAGAGGCAGATAAAATTATATTATTATTATTATTATTAGCATTTTTGAAAACGGAAATAGCAGATAAAACAATAGCGTAAAGATTTCAAATCAAAGGTTAATTGAGCATATCAGTAAAAATGACCTGTTACCTGTTGAGGTTGTTCAGAACTAAAAATACCAATAGACTCCCATCACGAGTTAATGCTGAAATTCTAAGTGCCATTTCAAACCAGATGCCATTTCGCACAAAGAAGGCCAAGACTTAGACATAGAGGGCCTTTTACATTTTGCCTGATTTGTGTTGCCAGCTATTACGTAGTTGCCACCAACTCATCTCTGGCCCCATCGACATCTAATGCAGTTTCAGAATGCAGTTTAATGGCATTAAACTGGATTCTATTGCAGTGTAGATTCAAATAACCTAGTTTAATGCTGTTAAATCGCATTCTGAAACTGCATTCTATGGCAGTGTAGATGGGGCCTCCAACCATGTACTTTTAATCGTATGAGTATTTTTATTGTCTTTAAACTGTATTTTAACTTGTATCCATAATTTCTGTATTTGCCGTGCTTCTAAATGTATTGGGTTGTGTCATGTCATTGGAAGCTGCCTTGAGTCTCCATGGGGAGAAAGGCAGGGTAGAAATAAAATTAATAATAATAACACCAAAAACCAAAGCTCAACAACAACTAAAACGCCTCAAGCACAACAGTGGAGTGGCTGAGTCCGTTTCTTATTGTTTCCTCTAATCTTGTATGAAGCCATAGTGATTTCCCCCCATCATGTCTCTGTCTTCAACAGCTCTATACACTAAGCCAGCTTTCCCCAACTCAGCCCCCTCCAGATCTGTTGGATCGCAAGTCCTACTCTGCCTGGGGATGATAGCACTGGGAGACAACACACCTGGAAGCCTGTCAGATGGGGCTAAGCTGAGTCCTAAGCTTAAAAAGATAAACAACAGATTCTTTGCTGACCTGGGCAATCGAAAAGGATATAATCATCTTCGACGTGCCCAAGGCATTCCTCCAGCCAGTCAAAGTTACTCGTGAAGTATTCCATGCAAAACACCAAGCCACCATTGGGGCCGAAGCGCAGGGAATCGTCTTCCATGACGTCATCCAGTTCAATTAACTCTCTGATATCTGTAAGGAATAGGGAAATCAATCGCTTTGGGACAAAAAATACTACTGTCAGGAATTGCCAGAACTTCTCCAAGATCTGGTTGGACTACAATGGCACTGGGATTGTGGCATAACTGGCTGAGTGTCAGATGCATTAAGATCACTCTGACCAAAAGGTCATGAGCTCGAAGCCAGCCTGGGTTGGAGTGGGCTTCCAACCAATTGTGTAGCCTGTTGTCGACCTTTGCAACCCAAAAGACAGTTGCATCTGTCAAGTAGGAAAATTAGGTACCACCTTGTGTGGGGAGGCTAAATTAATTAATTTACGAGGCCATAAAAAAGACTCCAGCAAAGCACTCCAGCAAAAAGCATGCGGGGAATGCGGAAGTACTTCATCAGCGTCGCAGATGGACAATGAACGCGACAGCTCCCCTGGCGGCCAGAAAAAGTTAAATAGCCTCTGTATACGTTGTATGTCAAATTGGCATTGAATGTTTGCCATATATGTGTACACTGTAATCCGCCCTGAGTCCCCTGAGGGGTGAGAAGGGCGGAATATAAATACTGTAAATAATAAATAATAGTTGCCAACCAATATGCTGTCAAGGGGCAGGGAAGGCATGCTTGGTCTGACCTGCCATGACATGATAGTCAAAGTGCTCAGCTGCGGGGTCCAGGTTCACCACTTGGACTGAGCGATTCAGGGTCTCGCAGTGCTGGACCATTGTGGAGCAGTAGGTGCTCTGAAATGAAACACAGGGAAAGACATCAAGCATCTCCAGTCCCACCCTTGCGGGACCAGAAATCAGCAATCAAGCCATTACCGTCTGGGGAGAAAGATCCTTTCTTTCCAAGAGTCTGGCCGTCAGAGTTCAAAACTGGCATTGAACTGCATTAAACAGTGAGTGAAGATGGGGGTCTCAAAACAGGGGCAGATCACCCCCTCAAAAGCAACAGTGGGGCCCCTTCTACACTACCCTATACCCTAGGAACTGATTCCAGATTATCTGCTTTGAACTGGATTACATGAGTCTACATGGCCGGATAATCTGGGATAAGATCTTGGTATAGAGAGCAATGTAGAAGGGGCCTGAGATGCCTTTTATAACAGGGGTGCTTTTATGTCCTTTACACTGTGGGGCTGCTCCCTTCTTTAGAATGTATAAAACACATGAAAGTATGAAATAAAGATAATATAGACATATGCATTGCTAATTGTCACGTGGGGATTTTTGTTGTATTTTTTACTGTAACTGTCTGATTTTACAGGTTGTAAGCCGCTTTGAATCCCCTTGCATGGAGAAATGCGAGATAGAAATAAACAAATAATAATAATAATACATATAAAATAAACATAATATAAACTGAGGCCCCTTCCAGACAGCTGAATAAAACCCAACATTTTCTGCTTTGAGCTGGAATATATGGCTGTGTGGACTCAGATAACCCAGTTCAAAGCAGATATTGGGGGATTTTCTGCCTTGATATTCTGAGTTATATAGCTGTGTGGAAGGGTCCTACGTTTTGTGAATGTTTTCTCTGTAGGGAGACTTTTCTGTACAAGCAAAGAAAGAAATGCATCCAGGGAATCTGGAAGAACTTGCCCCAATACAACAGGCCAAGCTCACGCCCTCTCTAAGAAATCTATGCTTTCATGGCTATTGTTAAGAATGTTATGTATGTATTCATGGGTATGCTTCTTCTTCTCACGATTATCTTTCTTGTACTCTAGTGTATTTAAAACAACACAACAGTAATGTGTTGTTGAAGGCTTTCATGGCCGGAATCACTGGGTTGCTGTGAGTTTTCCGGGCTGCCTGGCCATGTTCCAGAAGCATTCTCTCCTGATGTTTCACCCACATCTATGGCAGGCATCCTCAGAGGTTGTGAGGTCTGTTGGAAACTAGACAAGTGGGGTTTATATATATGTGGAATGTCCAGGGTGGGAGAAAGAACTCTTGTGTGTTGGAGGCAAGTGTGAATGTTGCAATTGGCCACCTTGATTAGCACTGAATGGCCTTGCAGCTTGAAAGCCTGGCTGCTTCCTGTCCGGGGGAATCCTTGGTTGGGAAGTATTAGCTGGCCTGGATTGTTTCTGTCTGGAAATCCTCTTTTTTTGTTTTGTTCTTTATTTACTGTCCTGATTTTAGAGTTTTAAAATACTGGGAGCCAGATTTTATTCATTTTCATTGTTTCCTCCTTTTTGTTGAAATTGTCCACCTGCTTATGGATTTCAATGGCTTCTCTGTGTAGTCTAACATGGCAAGTTGCTAAGACTGAGCATTTCTGTGTTCTGCAATAATATGCTGTGTCCAGGTTGGTTCACCAAGTGTTCTGCTATGGCTAATTTATCTGGTTGGATCAGTATGCAGTGCCTTTCATGTTCCTTGATTCCTCCAATGAAGAAACATAACCTACAAGCTATCTGCAGACCCACTAAGAAAATCCAACAAATGCTACGTTCATCCAAGGACAAGAGGGATCTTCTCACCTCTGCAGGAGTCTACTGTTTACCATGTAGCTGCGAACAAGTCTACAGAGGGACCCCCAAACGCAGCATTGCCCAAACACAAATCAAGGAATGTGGCCATATTGTCAGGAAAACTCACAGCAACCCAATACAATAGTATCCCCTACACCAGGCATGGGTAAACTTCAGCCCTCCAGGGGTTTTGGACTTCAAGTCCCACAATTCCTGGCCTCAGACCTTTTCCTTTTCCCCTCAGCCGCTTAAACTTCGGCCCTCCATAGAATCATAGTTGGAAGAGACCTCATGGGCCATCCAGTCCAACCCCCTGCCAAGATGCAGGAAAATTGCATTCAAATCACCCACGACAGATGGCCATCCAGCCTCTGTTTAAAAGCTTCCAAAGAAGGAGCCTCCACCACACTCCGGGGCAGAGAGTTCCACTGCTGAACGGCTCTCACAGTCAGGAAGTTCTTCCTCATGTTCAGATGGAATCCCCTTTCTTGTAGTTTGAAGCCATTGTTCCATTGCATCCCAGTCTCCAAGGAAGCAGAAAACAAGTTTGCTCCTTCCTCCCTATGACTTCCTCTCACATACTTATACATGGCTATCATATCTCCTCTCAGCCTTCCTTATGCGGCTGAGGGGGGAAAGGAAAGGGCCTGAGCCAGGAATTGTGGGAATCGAAGTCCAAAACTTCTGGAGGGCCGAAGTTTGCCCGTACCTGCCCTACACCAACGAGACAGGAGCTGGCCCACCTTTCCGCTCCCCGCAGGGCCCATCACGAGCTGGGCAAAGCGAGGCATCGCAACCTCTCGCCCAGCGACGACGCCGGATTAGTTTGGACCAAAGGGCTACCCGTCGCCCATGCCTCCTTTGAGTCCTCTCGCCTGCATGCAAGGCTTTGCACGTCATTTCCTCCACGACGGAGGGGTGTGGGCAACGACAAGAACCGCAGAGCAGGGCATTTTCCTTATTTTTTTTTTCAGGGCGTCCGCTAGCCCCGCCCACAAGGCGGGAGGGGCCAAGGTGGGATGGCACTGCGCCTGCGCGGCTCACTTCCTCCTCGAGCAAGGAGGCGAACAAACGCCCTGTGTGTATTCTCGCGAGAAGTCCCCCGCTTTCGGGATTTCTGGCCTCCATCCGCCTGGAACTGGGCTGCTGCTGGGAGCGCTGCATGTGCCGCTTGGGAGGGCGGTCGGAGGAGGAGGAAGAGCTGCCGCCCCCTTCGCTGAGGCTGCCTGGGTAAGAGAGGTCTTCTCTGCGAAAGGATGCCGCAAACTGCCACTCCCAGGAGCCCATCGCATTGAGCCCTGGCCGATCAAGTGCGGGAGGTTGACTCCAGAGTCACACTGAAGAACCAGGGCAAAGCCCTCCTCAACCTCTGGCCCTCCAGCTGTTCGGGCCTCCAACTCCCAGAATGTTCGACCAGAATGTCTCCAACTCCCAGGGCTTCTGGGAGTTGGAGGCCCAAACAGCCTGACCAAGAGAGTTCTAGGATAATAATGATGATGATGATGATGTGCAGGATTGGATAGAAACAACTAGAAAAGCTGACACAATACGAGAATTTAAAGATCGAACTGCAAAGTCCCAGTGGTGATCGGCACACTGGGTGCAGTGCCTGAAGACCTTGGCCTGCACTTAAACACAATCGGCGCTGACAAAATTACCATATGTCAGCTCCAAAAGGCCACCCTACTGGGATCTGCACGCATTATTTGCCAATATATCACACAGTCCTTGACACTTGGGAAGTGTCCGACGTGTGATCCAGTACAACCAGCCAGCAGACTGATTTTGTTTGCTGTGGTCTCATCTTGTTGTGTTTCAAATAATAATGTTGCAATCCCAGTCGACAGTAGGATTGAAGAGATATAACTGGAAAAGCTGACACAATACAAGGATTTAAAGATTGAACTGCAAAGACTTTGGCACAAGCCAGTAAAGGTGGTCCCAGTGGTGATCGGCACACTGGGTGCAGTGCCTAAAGGCCTTGGTCTGCACTTAAACACAATAGGCACTGACAACATTACCCTCTGTCAGCAGCAAAAGGCCACCTTACTCGAATCTGCATGCATTATTTGTCGATACATCACACAGTCCTAGACACTTGGGAAGTGTCCAACGTGTGATCCAATACAACAGCAAGCAGAGTGATCTTGTTTGCTAGGTACTAGTCTTGGTGTGTTTATAATAATAATAATAATAATAATAATAATAATAATAATAATAAACTTTATTTCTGACCCGCCTTCTCTCCACGTAAGGGATTCAGGGCAGCTTCCAAAAAACAATTGGCAGACATTCAATGAGAGATGCAGTAATAAGATAAAACCAACCTATCCAATAGGCCTTTATTGGCATATATAACAAGACAGTATAAAATACAGTATAAATTATAAAAAAGAAAACTTCACATTTGTTACATGTTCAGTTCACAGACTTCATTCAGGATCCTTGCCATTGAAAGGCAATGTTTAAAATATTGGCAGTTTAAAAGCATAATTAACCAAGGGTACATTATAGAACCAACAAGTAGTCCAATTAAAATAAACAGATTTAAAATACACAAATAGGATAAGATAAAACAGCCTTGGCTAAAACATTATCAATCAGGCCTCATAAATAACACATTAAGCAGGTAAAACCTGTATAAAAATAATATAGATGAGGTGTGGCTCTCCAATAAGTTAAGGCAGTTACTGTCAGCATTGTGACATGAAGTGAAATCAATGACACTAGTCATCTTCCCCTCCAAAGGCTAAAGTGTAAAAATAGGTTTGTATTTGGGGGGTTTTAAAAGGAGAGGAGTGATGGGGCTGTCCTGATTCCCATAGAGAGGGAGTTCCAGAGGGAAGGAGGGACCATAGAGAAGGCCCCCTCTCGTTCCCACCAGCTGCGCTTGTGACGGGGGATGGGACCAAGAGGAGGGCTCCCTCCAATGATAGTGTCTGGTTTATGAGTGGGGATGTGGTTTGTCAAATAGTCTGAGCCTGAACTGTTTAGGGCTTTAAAGGTAATGATCAGCACTTTATATGTAGCCCCGAAGTGGACTGGCAGCCAGTGGAGCTGTCATAACATGGGAGTTGTCTGCTCCCTGAATGGCGCTCCCGTGAATAGTCTGGCTGCTGATCTCTGGACTAATTGAAGCTTCCAAACTATCTTGAAAAGCAGCCCCACGTTCAGAGCATTGCAGTAGTCCAGACAGGATTTGACTAAAGCATGGATCACCATGGCTAGATCGAGATGCATCTGTTTATTTACATCCCGCTTTATCTCTCCATATGGAGGCTCAAAGCAGCACACAATTAAAAACATTATAACTTAAAATATACAAATATACAACAAACTGTATTATAATTCTATATTATATATTATCAGTAGTATTCTATTTCATATATTAGTAGTATTATATTAGAATATTAGAATATATTATATTATATCATTATTGTATTACATTATAATATTTATTTACTGCATTTTTACCCTGCTCTCTCTCAACCCCGGAGGGGACTCTGAGCAGCTTCCAATTTGGCAATATTCAATGCCACATTAAAAATAAAAAAAATACAAACAAAAATACATTCTGCATTAAAATCATAAAAACAATAGCATATAAATACATTAAATAAGCTGTTAAACAATGCATGTAGACTCAAAATCATAATCCAAAATCCGTTACAATTACATTACATTCCATTCACTTTGTTAAACCCCTGTGCCGGCAGGACTGAAGACCTACAGGTCAGAGGTTCGAATCCGGGGAGAGTGTGGATGAACTCTCTCTATCAGCTCCAGCTCCCCATGCGGGGACATGAGAGAAGCCTCCCACAAAGATGGTAAAACATCAAAACATCCAGCTGTCCCCGAGCAACGTCCTTGCAGACTGTCAATTCTCTCACACCAGAAGCGATTTGCAGTTTCTCAAGTCGCTCCTGACACACACAAAAAAAATCACTCCATAGCTGCATGTTGCCCTGTACTACTCTCTAAATGCTTGGTTCCATAGCCAGGTTTTAACTTTTTAAAGGACAGGAGGGAGAGAGTCAATCTGATTTCACTAGGAAGGGAGTTATAGAGCTGAAGGCCCACCACTGAGAAGGCCCTGTCCCTCATCCCCACCAGCTGCACCTGCAAAGGGGGCGGGACCGAGAGTAGGGCCTCCCCAGAACATCTTAGCGTCCGGGCTGGTACGTTGAGATACGTTGAGACAGATATATATATATATATATAAGCATAGCACAATATAAGTATTATATAGTATTATATTGTATTGCATTATAATATTATTAATGTGCTCCAGCAAAGGATCACCGCCTTGTCGGGGCGCTGGAGCTTGAGCACCTCAATGATGTCATGAGCGAAACCGTGAAGGGACACCCAAGACGGGACGGTTGTGGCAGAGAGGTCAGACCAAGCGTGATCCCTGGGGAAGGCAATGGCAAACCACTCCAGTATCCTTGCCAAGAAAACTAAATGGACCAGTACAACCAGAGATATGTCGGTATGCCATTGGAAGATGGGACTCCCAGGTCGGAAGATGGCCAAAATGCTACTGGGGAGGAGCAGAGGATAAGTTCAACTAGCCCCAGATGTGATGACGCAGCTAGCTCAAAGCCGAAAGGAAGGCTAGCGGCCGACGGTACTGGAGGTGAACGACGAATCCGATGCTCTAAAGATCAACACACCATAGGAACCTGGAATGTAAGATCTATGAGCCAGGGCAAATGGGATGTTGTTATTGGCGAGATGTCAAGACTAAAGATAGACATTCTGGGGGTCAGCGAACTGAAGTGGACTGGAATGGGCCACTTCACATCAGATGACCACCAGATCTACTACTGCGGACAAGAGGAACATCGAAGAAATGGAGTAGCCTTCATAATTAATAAGAAATTCACTAAAGCGGTGCTTGGATACAACCCAAAAAATGACAGAATGATCTCAATTCGAGTGCAAGGAAAGCCTTTCAACATTACAGTGATCCAAATATATGCCCCAACCACAGCTGCTGAAGAAGCAGAAGTAGATCAGGTCTATGAGGATCTGCAGGACCTACTGGATAATACACCAAAAAGAGACATTATTTTCATTACAGGAGACTGGAATGCCAAGGTGGGAAGTCAAATGACAACTGGGATCACAGGCAAGCATGGTCTGGGAGAACAAAATGAAGCGGGACGCAGGCTGATAGAATGTTGCCAGGAAAACTCGCTGTGTATAACGAATACTCTCTTCCAACAACCTAAAAGACGGCTTTACACATGGACCTCACCAGATGGTCAACACCGAAATCAGATTGACTACATCCTTTGCAGTCAAAGGTGGCGGACATCCATCCAGTCGGTGAAAACAAGACCTGGGGCTGACTGTAGCTCAGATCACGAACTTCTTATTGCTCAATTTAGAATAAAACTAAAGAGATCAGGGAAAATACACAGACCAGTTAGATATGATCTCACTAACATTCCTAGCGAATATACAGTGGAAGTGAAGAACAGATTTGAAGGACTAGATTTAGTAAACAGCGTCCCAGAAGAACTATGGACAGAAGTCCGCGACATTGTTCAGGAGGCGGCAACAAAGTACGTCCCAAAGAAAAGAAAACCAAGAAGGCAAAATGGTTGTCTGCTGAGACACTGGAAGTAGCCCAAGAAAGGAGGAAAGCAAAAGGAAACAGGGATAAGGGGAGATATGCCCAGTTAAATGCGCAATTCCAGAGGTTAGCCAGAAGAGATAAGGAACTATTTTTAAATTTAACCAAAATATATGTGACAGAATAGAATAGGAAGTACAAGGAGACATCTTCCAGAAAATTAGAAACATCAGAGGTAAATTTCAGGTAAAAATGAGTATGATCAAAAACAAAGATGGCAGGGACCTAACAGAAGCTGAAGAGATCAAGAGAAGGTGGCGAGACTATACAGAAGATCTGTATAGGAAGGATAATAATATTGAGGATAGTTTTGACGGTGTGGTGAATGAATTAGAACCAGACATCCTGAGGAGTGAGGTTGAATGGGCCGTAAGAAGCATTGCTAACAACAAGGCAGCAGGAGATGACGGGATCCCAGCTGAACTGTTTAAAATCTTAAAAGATGATGCTGTCAAGGTGATGCATGCCATTTGCCAGCAAATATGGAAAACACAAGAATGGCCATCAGACTGGAAAAAATCAACTTATATCCCCATACCAAAAAAGGGAAATGCGAAAGACTGCTCCAACTTCCGTACAGTGGCCCTTATTTCTCATGCCAGTAAGGTAATGCTCAAGATCCTGCAAGGAAGACTCCAGCAATACATGGAGCGAGAGTTGCCAGATGTTCAAGCTGGGTTTAGAAAAGGTAGAGGAACGAGAGACCAAATTGCCAATATCCGCTGGATAATGGAGAAAGGCCGGGAGTTTCAGAAAAACATCTACTTCTGCTTCATTGACTATTCTAAAGCCTTTGACTGTGTGGATCATAATAAATTGTGGCAAGTTCTTAGTGGGATGGGCATCCCAAGCCACCTTGTCTCTCTCCTGAGGAATCTGTACAAGGACCAAGTAGCAACAGTAAGAACTGATCATGGAACAACAGAGTGGTTCAAGATTGGGAAAGGCGTACGGCAAGGCTGCATCCTCTCACCCAACCTTTTTAACTTGTATGCAGAACACATCATGCGATGTGCGGGGCTGGATGAATGCAAAGCTGGGGTGAAAATTGCTGGAAGAAACATTAACAACCTCAGATATGCAGATGACACCACTATGATGGCCGAAAGCGAGGAGGAGCTGAGGAGCCTTCTAATCAAGGTGAAAGAAGAAAGCGCAAAAGCCGGGTTGCAGCTAAACGTCAAAAAAAACCAAGATTATGGCAACAAGAATGATTGACAACTGGAAAATAGAGGGAGAAACCGTGGAGGCCGTGACAGACTTTGTATTTCTAGGTGCAAAGATTACTGCAGATGCAGACTTGCAGCCAGGAAATCAGGAGATGCTTACTTCTTGGGAGGAGAGCAATGTCCAATCTTGATAAAATAGTGAAGAGTAGAGACATCACACTGGCAATGAAGATCCGCATAGTAAAAGCAATGGTATTCCCTGTAGTGACCTATGGATGTGAGAGCTGGACCTTAGGGAAGGCTGAGCGAAGGATGCTTTTGAGCTGTGGTGTTGGAGGAAAGTTCAGAGAGTGCCTTGGACTGCGAGAAGATCCAACCAGTCCATCCTCCAGGAAATAAAGCCCGACTGCTCACTGGAGGGAAGGATACTAGAGACAAAGTTGAAGTACTTTGGCCACTTCATGAGGAGACAGGAAAAGCCTAGAGAAGACAATTATGCTGGGGAAAGTGGAAGGCAAAAGGAAGAGGGGCCGACCAAGGGCAAGATGGATGGATGGCATCCTTGAAGTGACTGGACTGACCTTGAGGGAGCTGGGGGTGGTAACGGCCGACAGGGAGCTCTGGCGTAGGCTGGTCCATGAGGTCACGAAGAGTCGGAGACGACTGAACGAATGAACAACAACAATTATTAATGTGATATATATATATGTATATATAGGGTTGCTGTGAATTTTCCAGGCTGTATAGCCATGTTCCAGAAGCATTCTCTCCTGACGTTTCACCCACATCTGTGGCAGGCATCGTCAGAGGTTGTGAGGTCTGTTGGAAACTAGGCAAGTGAGGTTTACATATCTGTGGAATGTCCAGGGTGGGAGAAAGAACTCTTGTGTTGGAGGCAACTGTGAATGTTGCAATTGGCCAGCTTGATTAGCATTGAATAGCCTTGCAACTTCAAAGCCTGGCTGCTTCCTGCTTGGGGGAATCCTTTATTGGGAGGTGTTAGCTAGCCCTGATTGTTTCTGTCTGGAAATCTCCTGTTTTCTGAGTGTTGTTCATTATTTACTGTCCTGGTTTTAGAGGGTTTTTTTTAATACTGGTAGCCAGATTTTGTCAATTTTCATGGTTTCCTCCTTTCTGTTGAAATTTCAGTGGCTTCTCTGTGTAGTCAGACTACACAGTTGTTAGAGTGATCCAGCATTTCTGTGTTCTCCAATAATATGCTGTGTTCAGGTTGGTTCATCAAGTACTCTGCTGTGGTTGACTTCTCTGGTTGAATTAGTCTGCAGACAGAAACAATTGAAGTCCAAAACACCTGGAGGGCCAAGGTTTGCCCATGCCGGATTTACACCGTCGAATAAATGCCCTGGCTCTGTCCTATAGACTCCTAGGTGCTGTAGTTTTACAATGCCTTCAGCCTTCTCTGTCAAAGAGGACTGGTGCCAGGATGTCATCACATTGAGCCCAGTTGTGTCAAGCTGCATTCGTTCTGCAGCAGAGATCTACCCTCCGAAACATGGATGGGCTTCCTTCTTCAAAGAACCCTCAAAGCAACCTGCAGTATATGCCCATGGGGCTATCATTTGGACTCTAGCTCCCAGAATCCCTTATCATTGGCCAAGGCAGCTGAGAATGCTGGGAGTTGAAGTCCAAAACACCTGGAGGACTAGAACTTGGGGATCATTGGGGATTGTATCTGGGTTTCACTTCAGGAGCCAGAAAAGAAAAATGGGTTCCCCTGACACTGTGGAGACCAAAAACTTCAGGAGCCCCATTTAGCTCAGTCAGACTCCTAGGCCTTGCTGGCTGACAATGTGCTGGTCGTTGTAGTTCAACAAAGTAACTTTTCCAAGCTGCTCAAACCAAAACATTGTTGCCCAGCCCTTCTGCTTCCCTGACATCCAGAGGGCTAATGTGACCAACTCTTTTCTGCCTGCCTTCAGCTTGGCACCCAGATTTATAGCATAGGTTGTTTTTAAGCATTATCTGGTTGTTTTCAGCGTCAATTGCCGCTTTTGAGTCTCATTTTAAGCGAGAAAAAGTGGCATACAAATAATAATGATATAATAATAGCACATGTTTCCATCTGAATCTTTTATACTGATTTGCTCATTCCTTAGATACAGAAAGGTGAACGTAAAAACCTTTCCCCGCTTTCTGTCTACTCCAGACCACAACAAACTGTACTTGTGTAGTTTAGCCACCAAGAAGCCAGCTTTACAGTCCCAAATAAATTAATCCACAATTGCATTACACAGTTTGTGATGTGTTGTGGGCTTCAGGGCTTTTTCGGAGGTGGCATTTCAGTGGTGGAACTAATTTCCACCAGAGATCTAATGTCGTCCAGTCTTAATACCAGTTAAATATGTCTATTTTGTATGCATTTGAGCAGAAGAAATGGGTATTTTACTATTTGTTGCAATGCACACGCACAAACATACACACATATATATATATGTAGATTGCATTGAGAGCACCTGGTGGCACATCAGGTGAAATCACTGAGCTGCTCAACTTGCTGACTGAAAGGTCGGTGGTTCGAATCTGGGGAACAGGGTGAGCTCCTGCTGTTAGCCCCAGCTTCTGCCAACCTAGCAGTTCAAAAACATGCAAATCTATCTAATGACAGCAGCTCGCATCCTATTGGCTAGAGTATGGAGACAAACTGCAATCCCGACAAAGGAAGAATGGATGGAGAAGATAATGGACATCATGAACATGGATCGGTTAACATACATACTAGCATCCTTACGAAATACGCCTGTCAAAGCAACAGACTGGAACCCTATTAAACAATGGCTGAAGGAAAACAAGATAAATATATTAATATGATCTCAGCTAATAGTAAGAGGAATAGGAATAATAATATGATAAATAAAGAATAATAATAAAAAAATAGGAGCAAAGGAAAATGAAGAAAGTAAAGAGGAGAAGAAAAGGAAAAGGAAAAAAGGGAGAACACTGAGAAAAGAAAAGAAATAAAGACAAGTTGAATGATGAGGAGAAGAAGAGAAGATAGAGAAGAGAAGAAGCAAGGAAGAAAGAATGTAATGGAGAAGAAGAGAGAGGAGATGGGAGGGGAAGGAAAGGGAAGGAAAGGAGAAAGAAAGAAAAGTGAAAACACTGATGACTGCAAACTAGAAAAGAAACAACTCCGAAGAGCTGCTGTAAGAGAAATCTTGAAAGCCACATTAGGGAAGGGGGGAGGTTTTGTTACTGATGTCTCTCCCTTTTTTCTTTTTTTTCTTCTCTTTTTTTTCTTTCTTCTTTCTTCTTCTTCTCTTTCCTTCCTCTATTTCCTTTCTTTCTTTTTGTTTCGTTTCTTCCCCTCCCTATTGTTCTCTACCACTCCCACCTCTTTTATTTTTTTTCCTTTTTCTTTTTAATCTTCTATTAAACACTTGTAGATAAGACTCGTGATTTTATTTTTGTATACTTGAAAATTTAATAAAAACTAAAAAAAAAAACCCATGCAAATGTGAGTAGATCAATAGGTACCGCTTCGGCAGGAAGGTAACAGTGCTCCATGCAGTGATGCCAGTCACATGGCCTTGAAGGCGTCTATGGACAATGCCGGCTCTTCGGCTTAGAAATGCAGATGAGCACCACCGCCCAGAGTCAGAAATCTTTACCTTCACACACACACACACATATACACAGTATATATGTATGACCTTGTACTTTTATGTAACTTGTTAGCCATCTTGTGCTCCTGTAAAGTAAAGTGCGGTACAATCAATCCATTCGGGTCATAGGATAATTACCTTCCATTGTTGCCATTGGTTTCTAGGGCTGGAATTTTGACCTAATTTATGTTCTGTGTTTGTCCTTCCTAGATTTGTGAGCTGAGACTGCAATGGAGGCAGCTGAGCCAGTGATTGTCGATTCTAAAGGAGATCAAAGGTGCAACACCAGACCAGATGCAGACTATCCTCTCAGAGTCCTCTACTGTGGAGGCAAGTATTTAAGGGGCACGAGACTGTTGCTGTGAACAACACTAAACCAAACAGATACCAAAAGAAATTGCTATTTGTGTTGATTTGCCATTGGTTTCTCGAGAACCAACATGTGGATGTTCTCATGAACATTTATGAGAGATAAGTTGTCAGGTTTTTTTAAAAAAAAAAAAAACAAAAGGAGTCACGTGAAACTGCAAAGCCTCACTATTACTGTGATATAAGCTTCTGAATAAGGGAACTATACTCCCTAAATGTTTCTGTCATGCTAACCCAGTACCCTTTCTGTGGTTTGTAACAAGCTACCATATGATTAAAATGGGAAAGAGGATTTCTGAATCTCTCCTTGACAAAATAAATGTTGGGTTGTGAGGAAGGAACTGTGGTTATCAAAGAATGAATCGTCTTCATTGCAGCTGATCAGGTGGGGTAATCTGTTTCCTCCACCTCTTCTGTCTCCCCCCCCCCCTTTCTTGCTCCTAAGAAGATGCTTTACAAGAAGCTGATGACATACATTTTACAATGTCATTCAATAAAAATGTTTTATTGCAGCAGTAATTAATGCACAAATCAAAAATGTTTGTTTTGAAAATAATACTTTCACATATGAGAGCTGTAGAGAGAATGTCATGTTCCTTATCCTTAAAATCTATTTTCTGTTCTGTCCACAGTTTGCTCATTGCCAACAGAGGTGAGTTGCCTTTATTGCTTCTGTCCGTCAACTTTCCATGGCCTTTGAGTATGCCTAGTCCTCTGCTATTTTGAGGATGCCCCTCAGTTTTGTGCTTTCCTAAACCTTGCCACTTTCCTGTGCCTAAGTGGTGCCCGTTTGGTTGCTACCGCAGTGGCACTTCCAGCTGGAAGATCGGAAATGGGGTGAATGATATGTGTGCACAGGTGCACATATTTGCACAAGTGTGCATTCTTACAAGATCATTATTATAAAGATTTCTGTCAGGCCGTGAGAATTTGTCTGTGTGCAGAGTCTCCTCAGGTGACAAATGTGTGCTGTGTTTCTCTTACAGTACTGCGAATACATGCCCGACGTGTCAAAATGCAGGCAATGGCTAGAGAAGAATTTTCCAAACGAGTTTGCAAAACTTACTGTAGGTAAGAAGAGGCCTGTGTTGTTTTTAATGCACAGCTTAGGTTGCAGTCTGATAAAGTGTAGGAGGTAAGAACTTAGGAACCGGTGTTGAAGACAGCAAAGTCAATGCGGGTTTTGCCTAGGAATATCAAAAAGTATTTTTTTGACTTTTTAAGTCTTCCGGTGTGTTTTTCAGTGTTTTTATGAGTGATGGTCACTTGTTGGCCTGATAGGTGTATTGTGTCCAAATGTGATGTCAATTCACCCAGTGGTTTTTGAGTTATGTTAATCCCACAAACGAACATTACATTATATTGTCGAAGGCTTTCATGGGCGGAATCACTGGGTTATTGTAGGTTTTTTCGAGCTATTTGGCCATGTTCTAGAACATTACATTTTTATTTATATAGACTAGCTGTACCCGCCACGCGTTGCTGTGGTCAACCCTCCCTCCCTCTTTCTCTCCTTCCTTCCCTTTTTTTCTTTCCTTCTCTCCTTCCTTCCTTCCTTCCTTCCTTCCTTCCTTCCTTCCTTCCTTCCTTCCTTCTCTTCCTCTTCCCTTCCTTCCCTCCCCATTTTCTTTCCCTTCCTCTTTCTCCCTGTTCTTTCTTCTCTACCTATTCTTGGACAGCAACTCCCAGCAGTCCTCCTGATGTATCGATTGATCTATCTATCTATCTATCTATCTATCTATCTATCTATCTAATCTATCTATCTGGAGGATTGCTGGGAGTTGCAGTCCAGGAATAGGAAATTGGAAATATTCAGGGATTGGGATGCTCTCAAAGAAATCCAAGACGAAGAAAGCTTGCATCTTGGAAGCAGTGCATTTGGATCATCTTCCTGTCCTAAAGGGCCTGGTCTAGGTGATGTTGGGAGCTGTAGTCTGGGAGAGAGTGTAGAAATGCTAATGTGTGTTTTGTTTGCCGGGGGAGTTGTTTTGCGGATGCGCTGTAGCAATTTTTTTTTGCTTTTTAAGTCCCTTCCGCTGTGTTTTTCAGTATTTTTATGAGTGATGGTCACTCGTTGGCCTGATAGGTGTATTGTGTCCAAATTTGGTGTCAATTCATCTAGTAGTTTTTGAGGTATGTTAATCCCACAAACTAACATTACATTTTTATTTATGTAGATTAGTAACTATTTTGTGTCTTTCCATACTTCATGATCACTTTCACTCCCTTTATACTGGAGTTGCTTTATTTGACTAGTTTGCTAGAGTTTTCAATCCCACAATCCTTTCTTTGGATGGGAAAGCAAAATGGCTTTTGTCAATTACCTCCTTGCAAGGTTGAATAAGAATGCTAAAAAAAGTTTATGTCATCGTAAATGTGTTAGCCCTTATGGTAGCCCAGGATATTTTGCGAGAATGCATCTGTAGGGATCCTCTTCTCAATCAAGTTACAAGAAATTGTGTAACACTATTCTATTGAAGAAGCGATCCCTTTTCTTTCCGTATGTAGGAAGCCACAGATGCAGTCTAGCAAGGGCTGGAGCAAGTCCTATTCTGATGCTATTTGCACAAATTGAGCTGGGATCTGTATCTCTTTTAAGCTGCAACAGTAAACATATTTGTAGCCAGTCTGGGTTGGAGTGAGCTCCTGACCATTCATAGTCTAGCTTTCTGTTGACTTATGAAGCCCGGAAGACAGTTCCATCTGTCAAGTAGGAAATTTAGGTACGACACTATAAAACCTTCCAGCAGCGTGCATAAGAATGAGGAAGTACTCCATCAAGGAGTCGATGTCACAAGTGGATCGTGAAGCAGCAGCTCCCTCTATGGCTGGAATTGAGCATACCCTCATGAAGCTGGAAAAGCTGGAATGTTAAATTGCCTCTGTGTCTGTCTATATATGTCTATGGCATTGAATGTTTGCCATGCATATGTGCATTGTAATCCTCCCAGAGTCCCCTGCGGGGTGAGAAGGGCGGAATATAAATACTGTAAATAAATAAATAAATAAACTGGAGAGTACATCCCATTGCACTTAGGGTAATATATTTCTGATTACACTATCCAAATGGAGCATTTTCCCTGGCATTGCATTTTTTCTAAGTGAGAACAAAATCAACTGTATGTTACCAATTTGCTAAGCTTAAAAAGAGTAGCACTTGAAAACTAACTGGGGAAACAACCACAAATTAGCCCTGCTCGTGTCCCATCAGTTCAGAGGTAATCTTTATTCATTTTTTTCATGGTCAAGCTTAAGTATTGTTGTTCCTTTCTGTATTCTTATTTAGAAAAATCTCCCAAACAAGAATCTGGAATTGGAGAAGGGCAAGGAATGACTGGTGAAGAGGAAGAGAAAAAAAAGCAAAAAAGAGGCAAGGTCTAAATTGTTATTTGTGAGTTAGATACAGTAGGAAAAAAAAACCCTGAAATACTAATTTGAATGTGAAGACTAGCTATTGTTTGCTAGTTGGGTCAGAGCAGCACTGGTGAAGAGATTGGAAGCCCAAAAACCTGGCACTACTGCTTCTGTGTAGCCTTGCAAGGTATAATAACTGGCGTTTTCTGTTTTCCCCATCCCTCCAGGTGGAAGAGGTCAGATAAAACAGAAGAAGAAAACGGTCCCTCAGAAAGTCACAATAGCAAAAATCCCTAGGGCAAAGAAGAAATATGTCACAAGGGTTTGTGGTCTCGCAACTTTTGGTGAGTGAAGAAGTAAGGACTTGGCACCCACTGGGATCTCTAATCTCCTTTACTGGTTTTAATAATTGTTTTTTCTTCTTCCTTGAAACAGAAATAGACCTTAAGGAAGCACAAAGATTCTTTGCCCAGAAGTTCTCTTGTGGTGCCTCAGTAACGGGAGAGGATGAAATAATAATTCAGGGGGACTTTACAGACGACATCATTGATGTCATCCAGGAAAAGTGGCCAGAGGTGAATGATCTCTTAATCTACACTTGTGTGTCTGAGTGACTGAAAGAGAGAATTTCATTTCCTGTTCTATCTATTTATTTGAAGTTGGAGTCACTGTGCGTTGTGCTTTTGCACTACCCAGAACTGTAGTATTTGTAAGAGAGAAAGCAAGAGTGACTACACTGTCCTCGGGTTTAGTTTTTTTCCCCTCATCAAAGCTTTCCATGGCTTCTTGTTAGAGATTTTTTTAGCATTTAACTGTGTTCTGTTGCCAGTCAACTTTTTTGGTTGAATTATTATGAATATTTATTATGATTATGATTATTATTTTACTGACACAAAACCACAGTATGTCACAGCAAACGAGATCTATATGCATGATTTCGTATCACAAAATCACAAGTCGAACATTTCCCAACCATCTAGGACTGTGTGATGTATTTTCGAATGATGCGTGCAGATTCAAGTAAGGTGGCCTTTTACAGTTGACAGATTGTGATTTTGTCAATGTTTATTGTTTCCAGATGCCAATTGAAACCTTTTGGCATGGCACCCAGTGTGCCAATGAGCACTGGGACCACCTGTACTAGTTTATGCCAGAGCCTTTGCAGTTTAATGATGATGATGATGATGATGATGATGATGATGATGATGGTTGTTGTTATTATTATTATTATTATTATTATTATTATTATTATTATTATTATTATTATTATTGCGTCACCTGCCACGCATTGGTGTGCCTCAGTCTGGTGATCTGGAAAATAAAGTAACGAGAAAGTGTTGGTTTCTAATATATGTAATTTCTTGATGCTTGTAAGTAAATAGTTTTTCTTGCTGCGTCTTTGTCAGTGGAAATTGTCTGGTTTGCCTACTCTGGAACATGCAAGATATAATTGTCCTTCTTTAGGGGTCCCTTCCAAATCTATGATACTATGTCTGTGTGTGTGTGTGAATCATATATATCTATATCTATGTTTGGATGGCTCTTTCTCAGGAGGGCTTTGATAATGTTTTCTTTCCCTGGTGAAGGGAGTTGGACTGGATGGCCTTAAGGCAGCATTTCTGTTGGTCATGGGGGTTCTGTGTGGGAAGTTTGCCCGAATTCTGTTGTTGGTGGGGTTCAGATTGCTCTTTAATAGTAGGTGAACTATAAATCCCAGTAACTACAACTCCCAAATGTCAAGGTCTATTTCCCTCAAACTCCATCTGTGTTCATATTTGGGCATATGGAATATTCATGCCAAGTTTGGTCCAGATCCATCATTGTTTGAGTCCACAGTGCTCTCTGGATGTAGGTGAACTACAACTCCCAAACTCAAGGTCAATGCCCACTAAACCCTTCTAGTGTTTTCTGTTGATCACAGGAATCCTGTGTGCCACACTGAATTCCATCATTGGTGGAGTTCAATATGCTCTTTGATTGTGGGTTAACTGTAAATCCCAGCAACTTCAACTCCCAAATGACACAATCAGTTTTTTTAAGTGATGGTCACTCCTTGGGTTAGTAGGTGTCTTGGGGCCAAATTTGGTGACAGTTTGTCCTGTGGTTTTTGAGTTATGCTAATCCCACAAGAGAACATTACATTTTTATTTATATAGATGAATTATTTTGAAATAAATAAAGAAATAGGATTATGAAGAAGGGTGAAACCTTTCAAGTGAACTTTTCGAATCATTCTTGTCCTTATTGTTGCTATATATTTGCATTTTACTCATTAGTTCGATCCTCTAATGTTGTAGCACCCATCCACTCACCCACAACGAGACATTGAATTTTGCTTTCGCCTGTTGGTTTTGATGTTTGTTTATATACTGTATAATGTTTGTTGTTTTTATTTTGTTATTTTGCTTTTGTTACTATTTTGTTGATATGCATTTTAATGTGTGATATTTTAACTGTTCTGTTAAAGGAGCCCCCGGTGGCGCAGTGGGTTAAACCCCTGTGCCGGCAGGACTGAAGACCGACAGATCACAGGTTCAAATAGATAGAGCTCCCTCTATCAGCTCCAGCTCCTCATGCGGGGACATGAGAGAAGCCTCCCACAAGGATGATAAAAACATCAAAAATAATCTGGGCTTCCCTTGGCAACGTCCTTGTAGATGGCCAATTCTCTCATACCAGAAGCGATTTGCAGTTTCTCAAGTCGCTCCTTACACAACAAAAAAATAAAACAACTGTTCTGTTGGGTTTGGCCCCATGTAAGGTGCCCCAAGCCCCTTTGGGGATATGGAGGTGGGGTATAAAATAAAGTAGTAGTAGTAGTAGTTGTTATTATTATTATTATTATTATTATTATTATTATTATTATTATCTACTCTGCCCATACTGCCATCAAACTGGCTAGAGCGAAGATACAGAGGGATCCCCCATGCCCAACGACTTTGCATTTGTGGCACAGGGGAAATAGAAGACCTAACACACTATTTGCTACGTTGCCCCTTGTACAATGATCCTAGGAAAAATTTCCTAGGCTCACTCTTGGAAGAAAGGGCATCATGGCAACAATCTGTGGTGATCTGCGACTTGCTAGCAGATCATTCTAAAAATATAACACTAAAGGTTGCCACATTCGCAATCGCAGCCCAAAAGATCAGAGCCAAAGCATCAAAATCCATACTGGGGGTCAGAAATGGAAACGGTTTGGATTGACACAAAGCAGACACTGTCATTGTCATGTCTCTGCTTTCATAATTTTAAAGAACTTGTTTTAGTTTTAATCCTTGTTATGTTTTAAGGTTTATATTGGAAAGTGTTTATAAAGTTACTATATTATTGATGTCATGGCCTATGGCTAGTACAATAAGCAATTCATTCATACTCTGCCCATACCATATATAAACATTATGTTGTTTTCATGGATCTCTTTATAAATCATAATCCTCTTGGTTGCCTTTTTCATCATAAACTGAAAAGGAAAAGGTGCTTCAACTCCTTTCGATCGAGCTCTATCCTTTTACCTCCATGTGCAATCATTCCACTAGACTTCCATACCTTCCTTTAGCAGAAAGTCTGTGTGTATGTTTGAAAACCTAGAATATTTTCTGCCCAATCCCTTTGTTTCACATGCAAGGACTGCTTTCATCCCCAGAGGGTCTTTGGGGGGGGGGGGGGGGGGGGAGGCCCCCAAACCCAAGCTTGCCTCCTTCTACCAGATGGTATTATAATGCTGATAATGCTATTTGTCTATTGTAGGTTGATGATGATAGCATCGAAGATCTGGGAGAAGTCAAGAAGTGAAAATGTGTTTTTAAAAATCAAAACCTGCCTTCCAACTTGCACCGAGTTCTAGTTGATGTAGCCAAAATAAGGCTTCTTCTCTGTGTGTTTGCCTGGCAAAAAGAACTGTTAAAGAACTGTACCCCTTACTGTTGGCATTTTCTGTATTGGCTACATATACTCTGTTTGTGTTCTTGCCAAAGTTTAAACCCGGAGGAAGTGGGACGATTGTGCTTCCAAACACAGAGTTCATTGATTAAAAAGTTAATGTTCCTCACACAAATAGTTTCTTGGGTTTTTTTTCCTAACAGTTTTTGGTTCCTCAGCAGACTTCTGGATTATGTTGTTAAACGAAGGCGGATTGTTTGAACAATTGATCTACAGGAAATCAAATGAGAGTTGTCTACACAAGTTTGCAATGTAACAAGAGACCATATTTACTCAAATCTAATGCTCACTCTTTTTTCTTTCTTTTCTTTTTTTTTTTTTTTGCTAAATGACCGTGCCAAAATTAGGGTGCATATTAGATTTGTGTAATATGGTAATCTTAGTGCTGAGCCAAAGCAGAAAGGGAAGCTACTTCAGGAACTGCACCTGGAACTCTTTTTGAGGGACATATTCTCTAATTTAATTGCCATGGCTCAATGTTATACAGAGTTGGGATTTGTAGTTTGGTGAGCCACCAGCATTATTTGGCAGAAAAAGCTCAAGATGTTGTCAAATTACATCCCCCGTGATTCCATAGCATTGAACCAAGGTAGTGTAAGTGGATTCATTCTACAGCATAGATGCACCCCAAGGTTTCCTATTCAGTTGTTGGAAGCTTTGGTGTTCCAACACTTTTGTTATGAAAGAAGGAATGCTAAGCCTGCAGCCACACTAATACACACCTTTTGGGTCCAAATTACAAAGAACACAGTTTTTCTCGCTGCACATTACATTCGCCAGCACATGCTCTCTTTTTTTAGTTCCAGAGTTTTGAAAATTGTGGTGTGTATTAGATTCAGTGGCTCATTAAACTCGAATCAATAGACTCATTTGTGTCTATGCATTTGCTTGAAGAAATGAATATAGATTTGTCTCTGGAATTCACAAGAACGGGATGCCTTCAAAGTGCTGAGCTTTTTTGTCTGTGAGAGCGCCACAATTATCCTCCTCCTCCAAGCTCCAGAGAAAATATATAGGAAAAAAGATACAAAAGTCTTGATAGAGCTGCCCATGGGATGTAAACATCTCAATATGTAAACCTGTTGGACACTGGAAACTCACTTCGGCACTGTTGACTGTGGTATATTATTTTTAACATAACATCTTCATCATCATTTTACACTTTTAAGGCATTTTAATTTATTGAGTTTTTATCATAACTGTGTATGATCAGGCCTACTTGTTTTTAAGTAAGTATTTTTGTTATTGTAAGTTCACATTTATGTTTATTTTATGTATTATTTGGGTTAAAGTGCTGAGCTGCTGAATTTGTTGACTGAAAGGTTGTAGGTTCGAATCCGGGGAGCAGTGTGAGCTCCCACTGTTAGCCCCAGCTTCTGCCAACCTAGCAGTTCGAAAACATTCAAATGTGAGTAGATCAATAGGTACCACTCCGGCAGGAAGGTAACAACGCTCCATGAAGTCATGCTAGCCACATAACCTTGGAGATGTCTACAGACAACACCGGCTCTTCAGCTTAGAAACAGAGATGAGGCTCTTCGGCTTAGAAATGGAGATGAGCACCACACCCCAGAGTCAGACATGACTGGACTTAATGTCAGAGGACAAACTTTACCTAGTGTTATTTGGCTGAGTTATGATGCCACAGAGTAGTGAGTAGTTCCTTGGTTCTCTAAAACGATTGCTACGCCGGGCTTTTGGAAATGAGAGGATTGTGAGAGAATTTCAGAAATTATTTATTTACCACATTTGTACCCTTCACTTCTCACCCCAAAGGGACAGTGCAATAAAGGGAAAGCTTTCGGGACAGTGCAATAAAGCAGTGATACCTTACCAGACCAATTAGATTAGACGCAAATAATCAAGACGGTTTTAAACAGTGCATTTTAATATTGAGACAAATGTTTTTAATGCTTATGTATGCATATAATGGAGCAATTACTGCGTTTTTGGAAGGCCAGAAAAAGAGGATCCAATTAATCTGGGCAGGTTTTGGATTGCAAAAAAAACCCATGCCTGTTTGAGAATTTTGAGGTTTGTTTTGGGGTTTTTGCGTGGAAATTGGGGTCGCTTTGATGATTACAGTTGTGTCCCTAGCTCTTTAGTTGTTCCGTGGACAAGAATTCACCCTCTTCACGAGTGGTTGAAGGGCCGCAAGCTTCCAAACATCTGCTCAAAAGATGCTGATGAGCAATGTTATTTTAAACCTGATGACAAACATTTTGAACATAGATATACATATAAGTTAAACTAGCTGTCCCCTGCCACGCGTTGCTGTGGCCCAGTCTGTTGATCTGGAAAATAAAGTAATGAGAAAGTGTTGGTTTCTAATATATGTAATTTCTGTATGTTGTTGTTCATTCGTTCGGTCGTCTCCGACTCTTCGTGACCTCATGGACCAGCCCACGCCAGAGCTCCCTGTCGGCTGTCACCACCCCCGCTCCTTCAAGGTCAGTCCAGTCACTTCAAGGATGCCATCCATCCATCTTGCCCTTGGTCGGCCCCTCTTCCTTTTACCTTCTACTTTCCCCAGCATAATTGTCTTCTCTAGGCTTTGCTGTCTCCTCATGATGTGGCCAAAGTACTTCAACTTTGTTTCTAGTATCCTTCCCTCCAATGAGCAGTCGGGCTTTATTTCCTGGAGGATGGACTGGTTGGATCTTCTCGCTGTCCAAGGCACTCTCAGAACTTTCCTCCAACACCACAGTTCAAAAGCATCTATCTTCCTTCGCTCAGCCTTCCCTATGGTCCAGCTCTCACATCTGTAGGTGACTATGGGGAATACCATTGCTTTAACTATGCGGATCTTTGTTGCCAGTGTGATGACTCTTTACTATTTTATCGAGATTGGACATTGCTCTCCTCCCAAGAAGTAAGCGTCTTCTGATTTCCTGGCCACAGTCTGCATCTGCAGTAATCTTTGCACCTAGAAATACAAAGTCTGTCACGGCCCCCACATTTTCTCCCTCTATTTTCCAGTTGTCAATCATTCTTGTTGCCATAATCTTGGTTTTTTTGATGTTTAGCTGCAACCCAGCTTTTGCGCTTTCTTGTGGGTAAACAGTATTTCTTGTTGTTTCTTTGTCAGTGTTGATGTGGAGAGTGTCTGGTTTGTCCACCCTGGAACATACAACATAACATTGTCCTTCTTTAAGGGTCTTTCAAATCTATGATACTATATTTGTGTGTGTGTGAATCATATATCTATCTATCTATCTATCTATCTATCTATCTATCTATCTATCTATCTATCTATCTATTTAATCTATGGCTGGATGGCTCTTTGTCAAAAGAACTTTGATTACATTTTCTTGCCCTGATGAAGGGAGTTGGATTGGATGGCCTTAAGTATTTTTTTTTTATTAGCAATTTTTTTATAAATACAACAAGAATAAAAAATAGGGGGGGGGGGGTTGGGATATATACAAAAAAGGGGGGGTAGAGTGGGGAGGGGAGGGGGCATGCAGGTCCGGGAGGGAGGAGGTTTTTTAGGGGGGGGGAGGAAGTGGGGAGGGATAGGGTTTAGAGGGTGGAAGGAGGGGTTGACTTCCGACTCCGATTTCTCTGCGTTCTTGTTTTCATTTCTTCTGGACATATCTCTTTTGTGGCTTTTCCCTTGTGATTCTTCTTTTTCTCTTGTTTACTGTTCTACTCATATCTCTTTAAGAGCTAGATTTTCTCTCATATATTCATTTAATGGGCTCCAGTCGGTTCTTTTGAGTGGGCGTCCGTATGAATCTTTTAACGCGTAGGTTAACGTGTCCATTTCTCTTATCTCTAGAACTTTCTCCATCCATTCTTCTTCCGTTGGTGTCTCTTTTGATTTCCATTTCCTTGCATAGACTGTTCTCGCTGCCATTGTAAGGAATGTGAGTAGTATGTCTTTATTTGCGTTCAGCTCCCATTCTTCTTTAAATATTCCAAGCAGGTAGCATTCTGCTCTTTCTTAGATCTTCAGCTTGAGAATCTCTTCGCATCTTTCGTTGATCTTCTTCCAGAAATTTTGTGCGGTGGGGCAGGACCACCATTGATGGAAGAAAGTTCCAGTTTGTCACATTTCCAGCACCTGTTACAGCTATTTTTGTACATTTTCCCCAGTTTCTGGGGCGTCATGTACCAACGGTACTGCATCTTATACCAATTCTCTTTAAGTACTATAGAGTATGTATATTTAGTCTTCTTCGTCCATAATTGTTCCCACTCTTTGAGCATTATTGGTATTCCGATGTTTTTGGCCCATTTTGTCATGCATTCTTTAAGTTGCCCAATCTAGTAGCTTATTATAGATGGCTGTTATGGTTTTTTTTTTCTTTTTGTAGAATTTTTTCCCAGAAGTCATCTTTCTCCATAAAGCCTTCCTTTTGGTCCTTGTTAAAATGATCTCTTAACTGAAAGTAATGGAGCCAGGTAAATGATTTGAAATCTCTAGATAGCTCTTCTTTCGTCTTTAGTTGGAGTGTTCCTTCTCTTTTGATAGTGGATGTTTTATAAGTCGGCCACTTCCTCCAGCCTAACAGTCTTCTTTGTACTCCTTGTAAAGGTGATAGCCACATGGGTGTTTTTCCTGGGTATAGGTAGTTTTTGTGCTTTTCCCATATTTTTAATAAGGGCCTTCTTATAGCATGGTTGTTAAAGTTTTTTTCTTTCTTTGTTTGGCTTAGCCATAGATATGAGTGCCAGCCTCCTCTCAAATCGAACCCCTCTAGTGCCAGTGTTTTTTCCTTTTCTAGAAGTATCCAATCCTTTATCCAGGCGATTCCGCAAGCATCGTGGTATAGGTTCAAATCTGGGAGTCCCAGGCCTCCTCTTCTCGTTGCGTCGATCATATGGATATGTTTGATCCTGGGTTTTTTGCCTTTCCATACAAACCGCCTGATCTCCTTGTTCCACTCATTAAATGAGTGGATGGCCTTAAGTATTTTCTGTTGGTCATACGGGTCCTGTGTGGGAAGTTTGCCCCGATTCTGTCGTTCGTGGGGTTCATAATGCTCTTTGATTGTAGGTGAACTGTGAATCCCAGTGACTACAACTCCTAAATGTCAATGCCTATTTTCCCCAAACTCCACCAGTGTTCATATTTGGGCATATTGAGTATTTGTGCCAAGTTTGGTCCAG